TAGATTTGGGAAAATTTTAGGCATTATTTCGTTAAAAAGGCTTTCGGCCTCTTTGTTTGATGGTGTCCCATAATGAAGTCCCATCGTCCCATAGTCTGTCTTTGTTCTTTTTCTTTTTGTTCCTCTAAGTGGTTTATTTCAAATGGCCTGTATTTGAGGTTTTTTTCTTCTGCCAGATCAAGTTTGCTGTTGATGCTCTCTGCTCAATTTTTCAGTTCATTGTATCCTTCAGTTTGAGGATTTCTGTTTGCTTCTTTCTTGTGGATTCTATTTCTTTATTATACTTCTCATTTTTTTGATGTGTTATTTTCCTGATTTTGGTTAGTTATTTTTTATATCTCTGTTTCCTTTGAAGTTTATTGAACTTCCTTAAAATAATTATTTTGAGTCCTTTTTCAGGCAATTTATAGATCTCAATTTATTTGGTGTTGGTTAATGAAGTTTTATTAGTTTCTTTTGGTGATGTCATATTTGCCTTATTCCTTATGATCTTTCTAGCTTTGGTTAATATGCGCGCATTTGATGGAGCAAACACAGCTCTTTTGGCCTTTAAAGACTGGATTTGGGAGGTAAAGACCTATTCCTGCCATCTTTCCAAACTGATGGGATTGCCTCTGGGATCTCAGTTAAGTGCACTTAGAGACAGGTAAGATGACTGCTTCAGGGTTCAGATTTGTGAATGAGGTTTCAGGGACCAATCATCAGACAGCTTGTATAGGCATGTATCCCACAAGGTTTTGGGACAGGCAAGGTTTTGGGACAGCCAAGCCACAGTAGAGAGAGGCTGTAGCTGAGTCACATGGCCACTTCAGGATCTAAAATTTGGTCTTAGGTGTGGTAATGTTACTGGGGCACAGATTGGTGTGGCTCCTCCTAAGAGATAGCAAATGGGACTCATGGCAGGAATGCAGCTATGTGGGGCTAAAGCGGAGTCCACAGGGGAACAGGACTTCTTTCATTTCACATCTGAGAGCACAGTCTGTGAGCCTGCCACCAGAGTGTGGGAATGACTTCTCAAAGTGTCCCTCCTCAGTCAGAGACTCCACTAGGGTTTTACAGCCTGATACCTGGATCCCAAAGCTCTTACAGTGGCACTTTGGTCTATGGATGGCTGCCAAATTGCTTTTTCGGGGGGGGGGGGTATGTGAGCTGAAGACCTCCTGTGCTGATGTCACTTACACCTGTGTGTTTACAGGTACTCTGATTTGCAGCTCTTCACATACCCAGTTGGTGACACCTGGAAACCATAATTATGACCTGTAATAATTGCCATGCAAGTTACTTATTAAGAAGTAGGTCAGAGGAAAAGACCTATACTTAAGTTCTTGTGAAATTTGTAGGAAAAGAGAAGTCAGCTGTATATATAAAAACAATCTGCCAGGCAAATGTAAAAGATATAAATGACATTTTTTTGTTCTTTGGGATAATCTGTATTATTACTCTCCTCCATTAGTAACAACTAATTATGAAAACTTTTGAAATTTGGGGTACTTTTTGTCTTGAATAAAAGACATACTTTTTTCAGCTAAAAACTGAAAACTTTAAGCTATTGACTTCTTCAATTTAAAACTTCATGTTTAAGATACATTATATTTATGAATACAGAAAATATAGTATCTTGTACCCACAGGTGAATACCATCTGTGCTACTAGACCTTAGATGATCCTACTCAACATACCCATCAATTTGACTAGAAATATTACAGTTTTCCCAGCTCCTATGATTCTGCTCTTTCACTAGTGTTGTTTATTAGTATTGGACATGTTAAAATATTGTTATACAGTCATTCGTAAGGAATTAATGAGCTGCTGTTGTTTTTCTTCATAAGCACATCTAATTTGCTCATTCATTCACTTGTTCATTTGTTTTGCCCATATTTGGCTAGGCAGAAGAAAGAGTTCAGACATGCCGAATAATCATAATTTGTTTTTGTTT